AAGCTACAGATGGTTACAATTATAATTGAGGTGCCTTAGAAATAGAATCAAAACAAATATCCTCTCCCTCCATCCTCAAAATGAGACCAAATGAGTATACGAAAAAATAAACTTAAAATTTCCCGTTACATCACTAAATATTTTATAAAGAGTTGTTGTCAAAGGCCTCGGAAATTGAATTTTCCCATATACGGCATGTAGTAAATATTACATTGAAGATCAAAGAAGAAAATAAATCAGATGATGGGAAGCCATAATTGAGGGAAAAAAAGCGGGGTAAGAGATCAAATAGAAGATTTATCAAAGCCGGATAGTGAAATCAGCCGCCAATAAACTCTCCTCTTGATCTCATATTATAGATACGTTCGCAAGTGTGTCCCCAATCAGCTTCTTCAAAAGCCCTTGACATGGATCCTGTTTTCCGGAAGTTTCCATGAACCAAACCCCTCAAGGATATGATACAAATACAATGCTGTAAACTCACTATCTAATCATTCTTAAACAGCGTCCTAAAAAATCTAAGGGTACGTCATATGGGACTGTTGTTATTAATGGCAGCCTTACAAGTGCCTTGGGAATACTCTTGACATTTTTATTTAATTCGATTGTACATTTCAGGACTCAAACTTTAAATGTTAGAATAAACTAATTCAACTCCCTCAACTAATTGAACCAAGTGCTCGTAGGTATCTATTACAGTTTTTATTGTGTCTCATACTTTTTTTTTTAACCGCAGGACCATATGATTTTTCAAAATATAATAAATTAAAAACAATGGCACTGAAATTTTAAAAATAGGCTATACACAGTTCATAGAGATTTTTAAAAGGAAAATGATAGTTAAGTCCCAAAAGACTAAAAGAGGGAACTAATGATAGTTAGATCTATGATAAATTTTTTTGACAAATAAATTGCAAATATTAATTCAAATAATTTCAAATTCAGAAGTTCCTAAGAGATATAAATTCTAAATGCAATTTTTAGTTTGTAATTGAAATTTCCATTAATATTTACAACTCATTTTTCAAAAATTTTGTTGAGAATTTACTTCTCATTAATTTCTTCTTTTAAAACTTTACTGTCATTCTCCCATTTTGAAAGCCTTTTGATGTAACTAGTTCATATTATGAGTCTACTGATTATTTAAACGGGGAGGATTTTAAGACGCTAAGACATGAGATGCTGAGAGGATTAGTTCCCACAGGTAGGCATATAATGTTAAGGGCAGAAATGGGCAGATTTTGGTGCCCTCCAAATTTATTGACGTATTAGACTCATCACAGATCTATTTCCTACTTTTTTTATGGGGGAATGTCCGTAAAGAATCATGGTAGGAATTTTATTTGAAATTAAAATTAATGAAATCTAAAATAATATTGCAGGATTAAGGAAATAAATTGAAATTATTTTTTCTTAAAAATGATTAAAATACTGTTTATTTAATTTTTTAAAAAGAAAATCCACCAATCAAGGTCATGGAGCCTGAAGCACTGTCGCCCAACCTCCACCGTGGCTTCCATTACTGTGCGCATGTGACCTTGAATAAATTACATAATTAAATTCTTTTTGCTGTCTATATCACAATATAAAGCATTTTTTAAGAAGTCCTACTTTATTTAAAATATAAAATTTTCGATAGGTTATATATGTATATTTTTTTTTCAATTATATCCTTACTTTATTATATTTCACTTAAGCATAATTAATAAGATTTTTTGAATGAATTAAATGTTACATTTATTTTGAATTAACAGAGTCCTCTTCGTTGTCTCAATTGTGCAGTGTGAACTGCATCATAAGCATTTTCATTTTCTTAGGGATTTGAAGGCGCCAGATGAATTTCCATATAAAAGTGCTTGCACAAGAGAAACCTTCATTTAAAAAAGAGTAGACAGAACAAATAGAGAATTTACTAAGAGTGTTCATACTTGTCCCCATCCTAATCAAGATAAGATTTTGCGGAAAAGGACAAAAATATGTTATAAACAAGACATGGGATCACCTTTGGCATATCTCATCCTGTCCCAAATATATTATTATATTTTTATTTTATTTTATTTTATTAATATTTAATATATTATTTATTTAGTTAGAGTCAAAGTATATATTTTGTGTATATTTATTTTTATCTTTTTTACATAATCATTTGCTCATTTAAATTATGTAATTCAATAATTATGTTGTTATAATATTTGAAGCTTGGATGTCATTTATGGTTATTGTGCACTTTACTTTAAATTGTGATTGGTGTGATTGTGTTCTTTCACTTTAAATTATCGTTATAACTCAATAATTGAATTTATACACTCGTTTTGTTTTGATTTTGAACTTAAATAAATTATATAATTTTTAAAAAAATATTATTATCCAAATTATTTTCATGTTTTGTCTGGACATCTTGATCCCAATCGAGGTCCCATCTTATCTCAATCCTGAGTAAGATTGGACAAAGCACGGGACAAAACTTCAATCCCATTCATGTTTCACTTTGAATCACCATAAGCATGCATGTGACCTTGAATTTCCTTAAAAACCGTGAGAGGAGGAAATAGATCGAATTGTTCGAGAAAATTTATTGAGAGGAGGGTCCATCATATAGAAGAATGTGTTCTAAATTAAACAATCAAAATAGAAGGGAAAGGGGATTGCTGGGATGCCCCGTTAAAAAGATTTAAAACAACGTATTAGTGTGAGGTCTGAATAATTGGACAAAAGCTCCAAGTCTCAAGATTTTATTAACATATTTCGTCTTTCCTTGTTCTTTGGTGTCAACATTTTTACATTAAAATGTCATATAAAGACATTTCACCAAAAAAATAAAATATTATATAGAGTAAGACACAGCTGGATGGCAATTCAGATTAGACTGACGTCGACGACTTGGGACCGAATCTTACGCCTTGGGGCTTCATATAGAAAGAAAGAAAGAAACAGACACCCTTCATAGATTTTGCATATACAAGAGGCCGAAGACTGAACAGCAGGCCTGGCCTCAACATTATTATTTCATCCTTCAGGTTCCTATTTTCTCCTTAGCTCTCTGTTTTTTTTTTTTTTTTTTTAAAGATCCATTCATTGAACTCATTATTTTTATGTTTAGATCTGTCAAATCATCTATTCGCACCTCGTTGAAGTTTCTCTTATTTAGTTTTCTAATTTGGAGCTCAAATTTGATTCCATTCTGTTTTGCCTTCGGAACTGTGTGAGGACGTATCTGGCTAGAATTGTTTTTGGAGGTTTATTTTTGTTTACGGAATTAATTTTAAAAGTTAAAACACACATATTGACAATTTAAGCTTTTCACGATTAATTTTTATTGTGAATTTCATTTTAGCATGTTAATTTAAATAATTAAATGAAAATTGAGTTCATTAAAAATAAATCAATTACTAATTAAAGTTTAGATTTTCAATATATTTTTATATGTGTTGGTTAAAAAAATTATATTTTTACATGTCAATGAATATACATAATTTGAAAAAAAAAAGATTCAGACGAATCTACTTCACATCGTAATAGTAAAAAAATAAATCAATATATTTTTTAGATAACAAAACTCTAAAAAAAATATTAAGTCTAACATAGATAAATTAAACATATTTTTTAATAAGCACAATCAGTTAATATTATATATACATTAACGAAAAAAATAAATTTATATTCATGCAATTGCTCAATTTTATAATTATATCTTCTGATCTTCATAAGAATGTTCTTATACAATTTAGCAACAAAAAAAAAAGTCAACAAATATGACCACAAGTATTATTATCTTTACCGATTAATTGTTAATATTACTTTTAACTAAAAAGATAAATATTTCTTCTTCTTTTTTGCAATAAATTGATAAAATATATGTAATTTATATCTTTTTTCTTTGTTAGCACACACGCACACATATGACAGAATAAACGAAAATGATGTGCACATCTAGACACCACCCCTTGCAAAACGCGGAAAATTGGAATAAATGATTCAAGGTACTGGCAGGCACGTCAACGTTATTTATTTATTTTTTAAAATTTTCTTGTTTGTGGATATCTCATGCTTCTTTTATTATATAGTACCAGCAACATTAACATCATTATATTCGCAGTCCAATTACCTCTTACATTATATATATATATATATTTAAAAAAAAATAATCTCATAGAAACAAAAAATGGTTGAAGGCATAAGATCCAAGCCCAATGACATTTGTTACGCTGTTCTGCCATAATTATGTTGCTGTTATAATATTTGTAGCTTGGAAGTTATTTATACTTATCTTTAAGTCATAATGTATGCCTCTTTCTGCAGGCGGAGGCTCTTAATTCCTGAACGTTAATCAGACTTTTTCCCAATAGATGATGTGAAGTTTCTCGATCTCATGAGAAGAAGGCACTACTATGCTTATCAATCTCATTTAAGACTTTTTTGGACAGGAGCTTCGTCCCTAAAAGTTTATTTTATTCTTAAATATAAGAGATGTCATGAATTTTTTTAATAATTAAATAATTTTGCTCTTATCTTAAAAAAAGGAAAGATATATTAATTATGTGCTTTATCCACTACTATCACGATATTAGTTAACATTATTAGGGTTAAAATTAGAAAATTATTGTAATTTAATGAGATTTAAACTAAAAAAGTTTATTAAAATGCAAGATTCAATTAAAAACATCTTATATATAGAAATATAATAGCTAGGCATGGCAGTAACCATAAACATGCACATGACCTTGAATTTCCTTAAAAACCTTAAACTAAACAACAAAAATATAAAAGGAGTTGCTGGGATGCCCCGTTAAAAAGATTTAAACAAACGTATTAGTGTGAGGTCTGAATAATTGGACAAAAAAGTTCCGAGTCTCGAGATTTTATTAAAATATTTAGTCTTTCCTTGTTCTTTGGTGCCAACATTTTGATATTAAATTGTCATATAAAGACATTTACCAACAAAATATTATATAGAGTAAGACACAGCTGGATGGCAATTCAGATTGGACTGACTTCGACGACTTACTGAATCTTACGCCTTGGATCTTTATATAGAAACACACACACACACCAGCTCATAGATTTTGCATATACCAGAAACTGAAGACTAAACACAAGACTTGTCCTCAACATTGTTTGTTTCATCCTTCAGGTTCCTATTTTCTCCTTTGCTCTCTGTTTTTTTAGATCTATTCCATGAAATCATTATTTTTATGTTTAGATCGATCTGTGAAATTATCTATTTGCACAGGTTCTTCTTCGATTATTTAACCTTCACATAGTTTCTTGTGGGAACAGAGTCTTGAGTGCACTGCCTGTTGAAGTTTCTCTTATTTTGTTTTCTAATTCTTCAAAGTGATTCCATTCTATTTTGCTTTCGGAATTGTGTGAGAACGGATCTGAGTAGATTTGTTGACAAGACCGATCCAAATATTAAAATCAATTATAAATAAGGTTTGATTTAGTTTTTTTTTTTTTAAGAAAATTGATTGATTCAATTTAGTTCAGGTTTTGTCTCTTGAAACTTAAAACAAATCAAACCATGTCTTATTACATCTATTTTATATATTTTATAAAGTTATCTAATTGTTTTTTTTCCCAAATTTATTACCCATAAATCACTAGTAAAAAATACGTTACAATTAGTTTAATGTTATCTATAACTTTTGTGATATTTTTTTAAATTTTATAATCAATTGTTTTAAGGATAGCATATTAGTTTTTAATAATTAAATGTGCTAAATAATTGTTAAAAAATATTCTTTGGTTCTCAAGAGATCATTTTCATTGAAAATACTATTTAATAGTTAAAAATTAATATTAAAAATTCATATATATAATGAAAAATATCTAAAAAATAAATTAAACTTGATCTAACCTTAAACCAAACCAAACCAAATGAGAAATTGAATGGTTCCTAAGCTTTGGTGAACCCATTGGTTTGGTTCAATTCTATTTTTTCTCAAAACCAAACTAAATCGAATCTATGAGAACCCTTAGGCTATTGCACATCCAAACACCTCCTGTAAAACGTGGAAAATTGGAATAAACGATACAAGGTACTAGTAGGCACATCAACATTATTTATATTTTTTATTTTTTTTATGGATATCTCATGCTTCTTTTATTATATAGTACTAGCAACATTAACATCATTCGCAGTCCAATTGCCTATTATATATATATATATATGTATGTATGTATATGTATATGTGTAGAGCAAGATTCGCTTATCATACGTACACATATTCTACTTCCATTTAATTTATGCATGTAGAGTGAATTAATCTTGCGGTAAGGGTAAATCTTGAAGCTTATATAGTCTTATTTTCTTCAGTAAAATGGATTATTTACTAGTTTGTGTCATGGGACTTGGTGTGTCTGTTGAAGATTTCGCTTTGAAACTCAAATAGACGGGAAATTTTGTACATTATGGGGTATTTACAAGATATTGTTCACTTTCTTTCATCTTCAATGTCCCTTACTAATTGTTGCACGGTTTGTTGACGTTCCTATTTTATACATGTGTGTGTGTTCTTTTTTATTTTGTGCTTTTCAAAATTTTGTACATTAATTGGTTCAGATTCCGAATCCTTGCAATGGCGGTTGATGCTGATGGAGTAGTTGGGTGTTCTTCAAGCTCTTCAAGTTCAACTAAGAGACGAAAGTATCATGTGTTCTTGAGTTTTCGAGGTGAAGATACTCGCACAGGCTTTATTGATCATCTGTATACTTCTTTACAATGCAAAGGATTAAGAACTTTTAGGGATGAAGAAGGACTTGAAAGGGGACAATATATAAACCCAAGTTTACTACAAGCAATTGACGAATCTCGTTCTGCAATTGTTGTGCTCTCCCCAGGATATGCTTCTTCAACCTGGTGTTTGGATGAGCTCCAAAAGATCCTCCATTCGAAAAAAGAATTGGGTCTTCAAATATTTCCAATTTTTCACAGTGTAGATCCATCTGATGTTAGGAAACAAAACGGAAGTTTTGCAGAAGCATTCAAGAATCATGAAAAAAGATTTACAGAAGACAAAATGAAGGTGCAAAGATGGAGGGATGCTTTAGAAGAAGTTGCTAGCATATCTGGTTGGGACTCCAGAAATAAGTAATTTCTACTTCTCTCTCAGTAATTATTATTATTTTTGGGTGAAAAAGATATTCAAAATAAACTATAACCACGTCAATCTTTATTTTATTTCCTTTTCTTTTTTTTTTGTCCCATTTTTCGGTAGTTATGTTACTTAAAGCTTTTCGACACATCAACACACCCCTCGCTGATGCATCGTTTCGACACCTAATAGTTTAATTCAATTTAGTGCAATAGCTATATGGCCACATAAATTGTATGCGGACTGGGGAGGCACTTTTTAAACATCTCTTTCCTCTTTTGATCTTATTTATAAGGAGAGAGAAAAATTTTTGTCTTATCTATAGGGAATGTCATTGTTTTTTATTACAATTTTATTCTTTTATCCATTATTAAATATTGGTGAGATGAAATATGTTATTAGAATATGTATATTTAATAGGAATAAAGTTGAAAATTTATCAAAATTTTTAAAAAGAATTAATAAGTTGTATTGTTTTCTTTAATTTTATTAAATCATGTTGAAAATGACTTATAAGTAAGACTAAAAGTAGTAGCTTGAATTGAACTATATAATGTCCATGGCTTATGATTAGCATGACTTTCTATATATTTTAAAAAGTAAAATAACAATTTGCTCTTAAATTACAAGTTCAAGAGCATCGGGACTCTAAACTTTTCACCCCCTAAACTTTTAAAATCATAGCAATCTTCCTCAATTGTTAACTTTAACTATTAATTGACTAGAAAAATACAAAAAAGGACATAAAAAATTATAGAAAAGGAACAAAAAATAAAATTTGTAATTTTTGGGTCCTTTTATGTGATACTTTTTGTACTTTTATGCAATTTTTGAAGTCCCATTCTGTAATTTTTTTAATCAATTAAAGGTCAAAGTTATTTATGACAAGAGAGATTGCCATGATTTTAAAAGTTTTGGAGTAAAAATGTATTAAAAATGAGTTTAGAGTCACAGATGATTCTAGGCTTATAATTTAAGGGCCAAATTACGATTGTACCATATATTAAATAATGAGTCTTAGAATGAAGCTAAAACAAGGAAAATACTTGTAAGTTCAAAACTACAACTAAGTTAAATTAGATTTATTCTTTTTATAAAAAAATAAAAAACCCAACTATTTCACTTTGAAATATATTAATTTAATAATTATGATAAAGTAAATGTAGGCACATGGAAATATCACTACAACAAAACAACATAGTTCTGTTAGAATTATTTTGATAAAAAATGTAAAAAAATATTATGAGAGAAGAGATTTCTCATTCATAGGAATTTTTATTTTCTCTCAAAATATTACGAGAAACAATTTCACTTAGATTAATTTGAGAGAAAATGTTTTTTATGAAATAATCTGAGAGGACTTCTCTTAGCAAAATTTGAGAGAAACTTCTCTTGAATTTATTCGAGAGCAATATTCTCTCAAAATTTTTCATGAAAACTTTCTCTTGGAAATGTTCCGAGAGACATTTCTCACGGAATATATCAAGAGAAGTTTTGTGAGAAATTTAGATAACATATTAAAAATTAAATGTTATCCCTTCCCACATGTGAGCCATGTCATGCCATGTTACTTGCCATATGCACGCGATATAATACCTCTATTTATAAATATGTCTTACCTTGGAGTAGAATCTATGTCCTTGGCTCCACCTTTTGTTCCTGCCTTTTTTCTAGTTAAGCTACAATAAATTTGATGTCTTAAATTAAGAAAATGAAATATATATTACTAAACTATACACTTTTATAAAGTTTATATTATTTTATTTTAAAAAAATAATTTATTTAACCTCAAAAATAATTTCAAATTTTTTAATAATTTAATCACTAATTTTATGATATATTATTTAATTTAAATTTATTAAAAATTAAATGATATTAATTTTGAAATATTTTTTAATTTACATACTTTATGTTTAATTTTATATTTTTCATTTAAAATATTTTAAAAAATAATTTTATAAATTATTTAATATAATTTATAATTATATTTAAATTTTTACTTTTTAAGAAAAAAAATTTTAGTTGCGGCAATTTGTCATCACTGAAGGGAAATTTTAGCAATTTTTTTTTACTCAATAAGTGGTCAATTTTTTGCATGCAAAAGAGAAAAAATTTGTCTAGCAAACTGATCAAAAATGTGAACCAAAGCAATATGCTTGCAACCAGTAAGACTACAACTTAGGATTTTTTTTAGAGTAACTTAATTTTGTATATTTTAAAACTAAATAAGTTATATTATATATTATATAAATAATTTTTCTCAATTGAAAAAGTGAAATATAAGACAATTTAATTCTATATATAAATTTTTTTCCAAACTTATATTCTATAGATGTCAATGGTTGTATGATAAATTAACATTGACATTATTATGTAAATTATAATGATATGTTATATAATACTTTAACATTGATCCACTCTCTATAAAAATAATTATTAGTTTATTAACACTATTTCATCTTTCTGACATATACTCCTTGTTGTTTTTTTAATTGCATACAAATATTTAACATAAGTTTGAGTAGCGATTCAAACTTTAATTCATCATATTATAACATTAGACCTAATCCCTATTAGCATCTACCTCCTCTTGCTTTACACTTACTTTTGTCACTTTTTGGACCATGTCATTCAATAATATACACAATATGAGTATTGAATAAGTAATTTTATATATATATATATATAATAATATGTATTTTATAGTTTTCTTTTAGAAAAATCTGAGAGAAATTTGAAATTTTCTCATGGTAAATTTTGAGAGAGTTTCTCTTACAAAAAAATGAGAGAATATTTCTCTTGACTTAATCTGAGAAAAAGTTCCTTGGACTTTTTTTGAGACAAAATTTTTCTCAATATTATTTGAGAGAATTCATTGAATTTCTCTTGAATTTTTTTAGAGTAAGCTTTTCTCAGACAAATCTAAGAGAAACTTAATGAGTTTTTATTTTCATGTTTTTCATCATTAATTTTTTTTTGTCAAACATTTCTCACTGATTAAATTGAGAGAAAATTTTTCCGCCATGAAGCAAGTTTTTTTTTCTCTAATTTTCTCATTATTCTCTCAAAATTTCTTTCTATTTAGAATTTTGTGAGAAATTCTGTGATTAATTTTTTACAAAAAGCTTTATGAGAAAAAGTGTGAGAGAACTTCTTTCCATTCTGAGAGAAAATTACTATTTTCTTGTTTTGTATTCTCATTAATTGTAAATGATATACTAGATTTCAAAAGGGGCACGGTGCGATATCAAGAAAGTTAAATTGATGTGAATATTCTTATTAATTATAGTCTTTGTAGGCCCATACATGTGAATTAATACTAGAAGCTACGTTCAGCTCTTCTATGAATGAAACTATCGCTTATTCCTACTAAAATAAATTCAGTATCATGGTAAACTTAAAGGTGCTACATTTGTGGTCATGTTTTCTTATATCTCACATTAACTATTTATAGTGCTTGTGCTTGACATTTTATAATTCAATTGACTTAGATGATCATGCTATTTTCAAGTCCAATGAAAGTTTATGCTACAATTTTCTTCTTTAATTTGCAGGCATGAAACAGAATTCATTGAAAGCATTGCTAAAGAAATGATGTCTAAGTTACTTGATGAATCACCATCTGACCTTGGTGTATTAGTTGGAATTGAATCAAAATTAGATGAGTTGGAGTTAGTCATAGCAAGTGATCATTTGGAAGGAGTTCGATCTATAGGAATATGGGGAGTAGGAGGCTTAGGCAAAACTACTCTTGCTAGAGCTTTTTATGTTCGAAAGTGCAAGGATTTTGAGGTTTGTTGCTTTCTTCATAATATCAGAGAGGTATATGAAAAGGGTGGTTTGATTTCATTGCAAAGAAAACTTCTTGTTTCTTTGAATAAAAGAAGTGTGGAAGTGGATGATTGTTATGAAGGAATGAAGTTGATAAAAAACATGTTAGAGGATAGAAAAGTTCTACTTGTCCTTGATGACGTAAGCGATATAAGCCAGCTTGAACATTTGGCTCAAAAGCAAGGATGGTTTGGTGAGGGGAGTAGAATAATAATAACAACAAGAGATAAGCGTTTGTTATCATCATATGATGTATCGACTCAATACAATATAAAATTCTTGAGCGATGGCGAATCCTTTGATCTTTTTTGTCAACATGCTTTTCAAGGAAAAAATCAACCATCTGAGAATTACTTGGAGCTTTCTAAAAGCGTGATGGAATATGCTGGAGGCCTTCCTTTAGCTCTGAAAGTGTTAGGTTCTTTTCTTTGCGGAAGAACTATAGAGAAATGGAAGGATGCACTAGCTAAGTTAAAGAAGGTTCCTCATGATAACATTTTGAAGATACTTAAGGTTAGTGTCGATGGATTAGATCAAAAGGAGAAGACTATATTCTTAGATATTTCTTGCTTTTTCAATGGGATGGCCATAGACCGTGTCAAACAAATTTTAGAAACTTTGGATGAGGATCTTCACCCAGAAATTGGAATAGATGTTCTTATTGAAAAATCACTAGTAATTAGCTACGACGGCCGTCTATGGGCGCATGATATTCTTCAAGATATGGGTAAATATATTGTCTTTCAAGAATCACCTGATGATGCTAGAAAACGTTCTAGGATATTTTCTTTGCAGGATGCCAATGACGTACTAGAAAGAAATAAGGTAACATCCCTAAGTTCTTGTGACTTTATGTGCACTATTTATTTAATAAATTATTCCATGAATTTTATGCATTATTATCTTGACTTATTATTTCACAGGGGATGGGAACAATCCGGGGTATAGTTCTAACACTAGAAAATTCATCAAATGCATTTTGGGATCCTGAAGCCTTCTCAAAGATGAGTAATCTCAAGTTACTTGTCATTTTGAGTCGCTTACGTGTTTCTCATTGCCTATTGAATCTTCCACAAGGACTTAAGTCCCTTTCCAACGGGTTGAAAGTCATAAAATGGAAGGGGTATCCTTTAGATTCTTTGCCCAATCAAACTCAACAGGTAATTATGGTCCTTTCATTTAAATTGTTTGTCCATATAATACATTTATTATCATAACTAGATTTTGACTTTTTTTTAGTTTTTTTAGTCTCTACAAGGCTCAAGTCCATTGATTTATCTTATTCCAAATACCTCATCAAAATCCCAGATTTTGATGGAATTCCCAATCTTGAAAGATTGATTCTCAAATGGTGTCCTAACGTTGTTGAAATTCACCAATCTCTTGGGCAACACAAGAATCTTGTCATTGTTAATTTGAAAGGCTGCACAAAAGTTAAAACCCTTCCAAGAAAATTTGAGATGAATCGCTTAGAAACTTTTGTTCTATCTGGTTGCTTAAAAGTAAGAAAACTTCCTGAGTTTGGAAAAGACATGAATCGTCTATCTAAGCTTGATTTAGAGAATACTGCTATAGCCAAGCTACCTCCATCACTGGGCAATTTGACTGGTCTTGTTGAATTAAATTTGATGAACTGCAAAAATCTGGTTTGCCTTCCAAATGACATTCGTAAATTGAAAGTTCTAAAGATTATCCATATTTCTGGTTGCTCGAAATTTTCAAGGCTGCCAGCGAATTTGAATGAAAATAAGGCGTTGGAAGTGCTTCATTTGTGTGGAATTCCCACGAAAGGGCTGTCAATATGTGAATGCAATGGTCAAGCACAATCTTTATCATCAGGGAGCTCCTTCTCCTTTCTCGGAAAGGCATTAGGGCTTCAAAGGCCTTCAAGATCAACAAATTTTATGTTGTCCCCTTCTTTATCATCCCTGAAGGAATTACATTTAAGTTTTTGTGATCTCCATGATGGATCACTTCCTAATGACATCAGCAAGTTATCATCATTGACAACAGTAGATTTAAGTGGAAACAATTTCATTGACTTACCATCTGGCCTCATTTCCAATCTTTCAAAACTTAAAGCTATTGGTCTCGTGGATTGCCCAAGGCTTCAATCTTTGCCACAACTTCCTTCGAATCTATCCATTATTGTGGCAAGTGGTTGTCCATCAATGGAACATTACGCATGTTCAGACGAACTCTGGGAGTTCATTGAATCATTTCAATCTCAGGAGGTTTGTTTGATTTGCCTTTGCTTCTTCTTTCATATTAATCATTATACTTCTTTAACGTGGCAAATTTTTTCTTATAGGTTCAAAACCTCAATGAAGTGTCATTTGATAACCTGGATGAACAATACAAAAGTGTACCTTTAAGTTTTGTGTCTGCTATTATGACGCGGGATTCACAAATCGTGAGTTTTTTTTTTTTAATTACTTGATTTTTTTGATTTCCTTAATTTTTTAACAATGAATATATAGATATTTGACTTTTATGTACTTGTCATTTCTTACCCCATTAATTGCTATACTTCTTACACAAAAAATTTTCGTGGTCACAGCCTGACTTCTTCATGCAACCTACTCGGGTGTTAGCAATTCCAGGTAGTGAAGTGCCACCATGGTTTTCTGATCAAAACTACATTTGTGAGGAAGAATTCATTCTTCCAAATGTGTCATTCACAATAAGCATACCTGATGGTTGTGGTTCAAGTGAATGGGGCATAGCCACATGCTTGGTGTTAGAAAACGATTTGGCATATGGAGTAGGGTGTGATCCAGTTTTGTGGACCTGCAGATTTCCTGATGATGAATTTCCAGATACGTATTGTCTCTACAATATTAGTTTACAATCAAATCGTAGTCATGAACTTTGTATTATATATATTCGTTGTTCCTCTTTGGTTGTAAACGGACTTCAAATGGTATTTTTTGCTGGGAATGTATTTGATAATGAGTCCCCAAAGTTTAAAATAAAGAAGTGTGGATGGCGTGTGGTGTGTAAAGAAGATATTGAAACTTGGCGAAGAACAAGGGACGAAGGCCCTAGCAGCATCAATAATTCCGTTGAGATCATTGATCTAGACATCAACAATATCATTGAAGATGAGTCTATCCCTAAGGCAGAGCCTAGTGCCCCTAACAAAATCCATAAGAGTAGAACAAATGCTTCAAGGTATGTAGATCAACCCCTATATTAGATGAAATTTTATATTTTATATAATTGCATGCTTGATGGCTGTTAAATATTTGTTTAATACCAAAATTTAATATTATCTTTCAATTCATATAAATATTATATTTCCTTAATTATTTTATTTTCATAGGCACTATTCGATTTATTATGTTATTGGGTTCGTTTTCTTATACTCCTGCAAAACTGTTCTTATGTTTTAGCATATCATATAATTATGTGTTATAATCAGGTGTTTTTACACAATTATAGAAGAGAATCCCGATGCAAAGATATCCATGATTACGCTTTTAGTAATATACCCTTGTTCAAGTGATTAATGGTGGGGCATATAGCCCTTTGCTTAGTATTAGAAAAGGGTTAAAGGGCAAATTCGCACATAAAGTAGTTGTCTAAGGGTACCCAGCATAAAGTGAGGAAAATAACATAAATACCCATAATGTTACATGAGTGGGTGCAAAAGTAATCAAACCATTAACTTTGCCCTAACGGCGTTAATTTCCGATGTTAAATACTGACTGTGCATGCCACATATCAGTTTTTGCTAAGTGAACTAAAAAAGGGATAAAAATACCTATGAAGTGGTCAACTAAGGGTATCCAGTAGACTAAGGTGACAAAAGATAAAAATACCTGTAACATTATTAGAGTTGGTGTAAAAAGTGAGTAATTAATCAAACCTTTAAATGTTGACTATTTAGCTTATACCTATGCAAAAGTTGACCATTTTTTTATTGGTTTAGACAAAAAATATTCCTAAATAAAATTCTATTGAGGTTAATTAGTCATTGTTTGAATGTTATATGGGAAAATATCATTTTGACTAAACATCAAATTAAATCACTTGCTTCTTTGCAGTAGTGGTGAAAATCATTTAACACCATGGCATGAATTTTGACATATTAGTCACTATTGCACCTATCAAAGTAACATTATAGGTACTCATACGATGATCGATCAACCTTTGTAGAAATTCACCTGGGAATATGTTTTGTCTACATTAGTGAAAAAATGATCAACTTTCGCTTGAGTGTCAACTAAACGGTCAACATTTAAGATATTTGATGAATTGATCACTTTTGTACCAGCTCTAGTAATGTTATGGGTATTTTTGCCCTTTTTTCTTACTTTAGGCTATTAGATGCCCCTAGATAACCACTTCGTGAGTATTTTTCCCTCTTTTTTTGTCTATGTTATCAGAGATTGACACGTGGCATGCATAGACTGGAAACTAATGTTGTTAGGGCAAAGTTAATGATTTAGTCACTATTGCACCCACTCATATAATGTTATGGGTATTAATACCATTTTTCTCACTTTATAATACTAGCTGCCCATAGCTGACTACTTTATGTGTAGATTTGCCCTTTAACCCATTAGAAAATAGTTTGGTAGATGCATACCTTTGATGAAGCTAATTTAATTCGTTGGAATAACATATTTCCTTTAGATTCATATTTAGTTATTTATTGTGTCTATATTGGATCCTTTCACGTCCTTATTATACAAAAGGATTATAGAACTTTTAATTTGATCCCCCAAACTTAACTAAGTTATAAATTTGGTCACATTCAAATTTAATTTTTATCCAGTCAGTCCCTTACATTTCTTAAATTATCATGTTAGTCCTTTTGAGTTTCAAAACAAAAATTACCTCTCAAATTAATCTAATGTGCAAAGTATATTGATCATTTGGCATTTGTATGCAGCTAAATGAGAACATTAGCCATCAAATCAATTGAATTTTTATCAATCAAATCTCTTATGTTACTTTTGTTCTTTTATTTTTTAAAATTTCCACATCTGTTTTTCCTAATTACCTATACAATTACAGTATTACACTTTATTTTATTAATTTTCATGATTGCCATCAATATTTTATGATCCATTTTAGTAAATTTTAACAGTATAAGGGTTAAATTGATAACTGAAATAAATTTAGGGGACCAAATTGATAAACAATAAACTTGAAGGACCAACTTGATAACTATTGAAAATGGAGGGACTAAACTTTCATTATCTTTATCTCTCATAAAAACTTACTAATAACTTCACATAAATGAAGGAATTTAGTTAAAATTAGATATTAATGCTTTTAAAATTTTAAAATCACCATTAACGATTTTTTTGTTTTTTGGGTGTATAGTGACAAGCCAGAGCCCAAATTAAGCTAGTAACAAGAAATAAAACAAATACAAGACCAACGTAGCAGTTAATCCCTATCAAAACCAAAACTACACTTATGTGCTAACCAGATTAGTCTAGCCGGCCTCTTCAACAATATAATCTCCCATACCATATATGAAGACCCTCGGCCAAATTCACACTCAAGTTCGCCAACATATCAACACATTGATTCCCCTCTCTTGCTATATGCCCATATAAAGATTTTTGCAATCTGCACACCATGCATCTTACTACTCTTGCAATCTTACTAGCCTCCTTCATTCTCCTGCAAAATTCCAAAATACAATGCTTCAAACTCTCCTGTCATCAACCTCAGCCACAAATTAAAGTTTCATTTTTTGTTTCTCTCTCCCCACAAACTCCATCAACTAACCCCAAAAATAACCTGTCAATCCAACTCCCAGTTCCCACCTCTTGCTTTACTCAAGTTAATTAGAGGAGTTTATGTAATTGTAAGTAATATCATAACAAAGGATATTTGAGAAAAAATTAATACTTTAGACAAAAGGTTTTATATTAAGGCCCACAAGGAAGGATTTATACATTAAGGATGGGAGGGAATCTTAATACGTATACGATCAAATTGCCATGCGTCATCAACTATATATCATGCATATTCATTGCTCTTGTTTTGTTGAGATTGAACCGACTTGAAATACCATTTTACACTATATATTGAGTCAGTACTGCTTAAAATAAGCAAGTGGGAGTGGCATGTTTTGTGCAGCGATGTTGAAAGATGGCAAAAATCCAGAGATGAAGCTGGTTTTGATTCAGATAACTTAAACAATCCCAATGAAGTTGAGAATAAAGAAGGCTGTAGCTGTTGGGAGTGGATCTCAAATTTTTGGCATTCCATTGTTAAGGTATATTAATTTGCCTTGCCTCAGTTCTAGCCTTCTAGGCACATGTTCGTCTTCTTTCGGCAAGAATTTCATTTTACATAACGGGTCAACGTGACAATTCCAACAAATTGTGATTTGTCTTTTTATTTTTTTCCTTTTAATTTTGTAAATTGCTTTCAAATAAAAATGCATCTTACTTTGTTGACATTTATGTCTTCTTGAGTCATAAGCTGAAGAGTGATGTTAATCAAGTTTTTGATGTCTTTGAGAAATGCACAGAAACAGTACCTGATGATGAAGATCGTCTTAGTGACACTGCTGCTGCTTGTTACTGTTTCCCCCCTTTCCAGTCATTATATCGTGCATCAAAGGATAGCGATAGTGATATACTCCTAAAACATATAACTCTCAACTCTGGTTATTTTCAACATTTTTTACCAATAAATTTGAAGCTTACTTTAAGTATAAAATAACTTACAACCGGCCAATAGATTGATGACTGATTTCCTCGTAGTTTTTACTTGAGGCAAAGTTGATCTTTCTTTGACTTCCTTTATAGGTTGTGTATATGACTTAGGCTGAGTTGGAAGGTTCTAGGGACATTCAAGAAGCAAGGGTTACATGCAAGAGCTTATCCAGTTTTCTCTATTTTTCCGTCCTTACCTTGCAGTTTTCTTTAATCTTCCTCCTTGATACTGCGTTTATCATTCACCAATATTATTTTGCCGTGAGTAGCTAAATTTTTTCACATGGACTATTAGGAACCTTTCTATGAATTTGAAATCGTCTCTTATTCGTTTTTTTCTTGCAATTTTTTTATAAGGTATATGCTGATTTAGTACTCTGCTTTGCGCCCCCTTGTTGTTTAGCCACCAATGAAATGAAACTGATTTGATACTTCATTTGAATGTGAAAAAAGGTTAGTATCAATAAAATCCTGTTGCGAAATTAGACTTTGAGTGGCATACTATTGGGTACTTATATAGGTCATGTTTAGTTGATGCAAACATTAATGGAAACGGAAATAGTATGAGTGAAAAGATAAAAATATTTGGTGGACGATCTGTTATTATTACCTATCAAACATGAGCTTAATTAATGTTTGCATGGATTATTGGAAGGTTTAGCTAATGAAATAAAAAAAGAAAATAAGTTGCAAATGTCTATACCTAAATTGCAAATATATGCAAGGTCTCTAGTGTAAATTATTGAAAGCATCCTAAGGGAATCAAATGCCCTTACTTCCTGCGATTGACAACTAAAACTTCAATATTTATATCCTTTTAAATGATATATATTTCTAACCCATCTTGCATCAAAATGTTTTAGGACATAAGTGTCATCCAATTAGTCTTTTTGGACCTAACTTTGTCACACTCCAGTACTAAGAGCATGACTGGCATGAAATATTAGATAAACTCATTCTATAAGCCTTGACTACTAAAATATTAAGCTAAAATATCAATATTTAGTTTATGTATGTAACTATGAAATTTGTAAAACCTTAAATATCTTATAAAAATTTTGATAGAGTTTTCCCTATAATTTGGACCTCCCAAAATTTACACAATAGCAAAACCTGTCAGTCAATCCAAAAAAGGAGACTAGCCTCACACCAACAGATTATATATCAACAAAATAAAACTAGGATCTAACTATAGTATACGTGAAGCGCTAAACTAAAATTTTCTAATACAAAATATATATACATTCAAGGTAACTACCTTATGCTTCCATAGTTCCAAAAGGTAATATAGCCCCTCAATGTTCAGTCGGAGGTGTAGGGTCAATTATAATATTTGAAACCAAAATTTTTTTTCTGGTGAGTAATGCCCAATTTATAGTTGAAGGAAATAATGAAAAGTATATCAATGAATCAATAACTAGGTAAATGCATAACCCATGAACATATATATCGAAATAAAACTTATTAAAACTTCAAATTTCATTTCCTTCTATTTTTTTTAATAAATTTCTACACATACTTAAACTTCTTGGGATATATCATTCAATATAAAATTTATATAAAGTAAAAATAGCAATTTGCTTTCAGAGATCAAATTTAAAGAAAACCAAGTTCAAAATTCTTTCTTTAATGAGACTTAATCAAAACGATTAACAAGCATGGACATATAGTCCACTAGAGTAAATAACTAACAAGTGTAGCTTAAAGCCACAAAATAATCAAGCACGGTTAGAAACCATGAAACAAGCGCAGGCACAAAGCCCATGAAACAAGTGTGAGTACGATGCTCATGAATATCCATCCCTCTGTTCCACATACGTTGGCCTGCGCACAGGGCTAGCACCACCTACAAGCATCCTGCTAGCTAGGTGTACTATGGCATGCCAAGGGCTAATGAAACTGCCATTAGTAACCAGTGTTTTGAACTTAGTCCTCTTGATCAAAATCAAGTGTGCACGGATCAAAAAAATTGACTTTGAAATTATTCTTTTCAAAATGTAAGATTCAATTGTCAACTTTCCTTTTGACATTTTTTTTCAATGCATGAAGCACCTTAAAAATAAATTTAAATCAAATATAACATTTGAACAATAGAATTAATTTGAATAAATAACCAATTTATTACATATTAGATATAATAGCATAACTTCTTGATAAAATAGAATAATTTTAATAAAATCCCAATTGAGTAAAAATAAGATAAATAGAGAGAACTATATAAATTATAGAGAGAATAATAGCAAAGACTTAAAGAAAGTATTAAATAAAGATATTTTAAGGAAAAAATTAAGATAATTAGGACGCACTCACGCACCTGAGAGATTTCGAAGCATTTTAGACTTACTTCTTTTAACTTCACTTTAATCCTAACAATGCCCTAAATTTCCTGACAAATAAATCATAATCTTAAAGTCACTTACCAAGTAATTTTCAAGCCGAATCTAAGAGTGAACATTTTAATTTAAAACTAACTTTCAAAACATTCCATTCAAATATAATTTCTTAAAGCCTCCTCATCAACAATATAAGCTCTCAACCCCAAAACATAAATTTCTCCTTTCCTATCAATATGTTCAAATTTAACCATATCAATTATTTAACCTTACCATTCTTTAAAACATGCAAATAAATATCTTGGGAGCATTCCTATTTGCTCATCACATGACCAATTTCCACTAAACTACCATTTTCTCTATTTGTTATAAAAATTACTTAAATAAAATATCCATTGGGAGAAATATTTCATTAAATTTAAAATTTTGGGTCATTACACTGTTGTTCTCCCTAAAATTCATTAACATATACTACACCCATATAATGACATAAATTCCCATGATGTGCAACAAATTAATGCTGATAATAGGATATAAATAAGTGAACTATGCTTAAACAGAAAAATATTGCAGTAGAACTAGAAAAAACATACTCAGCTAACAGAGAATATGCTAACTCACAGCACAATATTGCTTGATTTGCCACTGGTGTAAAGTTAGCACAAAAGATTCAAGACAAAGTTATTGGACAAGAACAGAAGCAGCGATTATAATGCATAACAATTTCTTACTCAACCCATACTGGCGAGAAGATTCAGAGCACTTCAACAAAGGACTTCTTTTTATCTTTCTTTCATTCACTTACACCTTCAAAATTGGTCTTCGTTCATATGAAGGCAAGAAAATCTGTCGACTTTATGTCCATACCCTGACACTATAACCCTCTCATCTCTTTTCATTTTCAGTTCCCATCTCTTTTTTCATTGTTCTTTAATTTGAAATTTTTTTATACTATTCAAATGAATTATTTTAAATATGTGAATTTTAAATGTGAGATTTTAAATTTAAAGTCTAAATCTAAATCTACCATTCTGAACACTACCTTCTATGAAGTACATAATTCTATTACGTTTTCATTCTAACATTTTTATTAGGGCTAAGGTCCTTTAATGTGCTTTTTCTAATGCCCATTGTAATGTCCTAACTTTTCAATTTTATTTTTTATTTTTGTTTGGATCATTGGCTTCTACATAAAATCAGAGACATTTGGATATCTTGATGTTCCAAAATGGTGAAGATTTGTATTTTTTATGATTTTTTAAAGCAAAATATCACAAATACACCCTTTTATTTTTGAAAAATCATAAAAAATACAAATCTTCACTATTTTGACTTGTTTTGTTATTTTAACTTGAATCCAAGGAATTGCAAAGAATTCTAGATCGTTATGGTTGCTCAAAGCTTCCAAGGTTGATCTCTTGGCCACTCTCTTGTCAATAACAATGCCAAGTGGGTGTAGTTGGTTTCTTCAATTTTTGATGAATTTGATCATTGTTCTTATTAAGACTTGTAAAAAATGGGGGAGAGAAGAAGATGGATATTGATGGAGATAATAATGTTGGAATATTACAACACCATAATCCTTCACTTGAAGAATTTACAAACACAATTCATCCCTTAATTAAAGGTGATGAGAACTATTCCCTTTATATAGGTTTAGGCTAACAACTAATTAGAATTAACAATTAATATTCCAACACTTGGCCCTCAAGTTGACATCTCTACCTCTAGATGCTCAACTAGCCAACAGCAACAAATAACAAGGAGGAAACAGCAACATAGCGGAAATATTAACCACAACTTATTGATCAACTAAACCAATACAAACATCCTATACTTGTAGGGCAAAAACAATGCCTTTCAAACACAATATTTTGCTTTGCATACATATACCATGGCAGCACGTCATGAACATTTGATATCTTCTTCAACTGGTTTTTTTTTCTTCCACTCCCAATTGGAACAATGATGAGAAACTTGCATTTAACTCCATGAAAAAGTGGTTTCTCGCTTCATAACATATGGACTTTGGATTTCAAGGACCCCCTGCAATATCGACTACATATCCTTGGTCCTTTTTTAGATCCTTGATCTGCACTACGAGTTTGCTCTAATTCTATAGAGGCTCTATCTCTCATTAAATGAAACTTTGCCCATAGCCACCCTCTCTTAACAATTATTGAAAACATAAAAAATCTTACCATTAGGAACCACGAGATCACTTTTGATCACGTTTATAGGGAAGCTAATTGTTGAACAGATCTTCTAGCCCACGAAGCTTTGATCAAGCATTTTGATATTACCTTATTTGACAATCCACTCACAGATTGTAGAAACCTCATGGCTTCTGACATGACCTGATCTTAGTCTCTTTGAAAAGTTTTCACCGTCATCTTGTATTAAAAAAAAAATGCACCAATTAGTCAATTGTTGTTGTGCCATGGTGCATTAATGAGGTGCCGTTTTTGGTGGTTCCAATGTTGAATTGATCCAGTGACAAAGTCCCATGTAGCAGACATATCATCAAATTGATCAGGTTGATCACTTTTCTTGATCATTGTTTTGACCTTGAACTGCTTGCGGCTGTTAGTGGAGGTTGAAGCCAGGACTTAATTGAGATTTCCTTATCATTGGATTTGACCCTTTGTGTTTCATGATTTCCAGCCGTGGAATTAATTCTCATATTCTTCAAAAAAAAAAAAAAATCGCCTGCCAAGTGTCCTTTCATGAGTGATTGGTGCAACCAAGAACAAATGAAATTATGTCCATGTATAATGATATCATGAGAAGTTTGCCAGTCAAAATATTTGTGCAGAGATAGAGCTCTCCGGGAAGCATTATTTTTTTTAACTTGGGACAAAGTCAGAGTTTACCTGTCAAGCTGTAAAATGGGGCTATGACTTATTACTTCGTCTTATACAATTACTTTTTTTCGCTATATGCAATGTTGT